TTTATTTGCTTGTCATAATACATTTCAGCTGCATTTTCCTTCTTCTGTTCCATATATTATATTAAAGATGAAGGAAAGTTTCCTATTCAGTCTGAGTGTTTCATGAGCCTTTTCTCCTCACTAGTTAACCAGGAAGACATTAAGATACAAATATTTAATTAACTGACAGAACAGTTTAAGCCAAGTCTGAAAGAGGTTCTTCCAGCCATAGATGGGTGCCTGGAGAAGCAACAAGGAGCAAACCCCTCACTTTGAGCCATGTTTAAGTGTTTCTTTCTTCTTCTGTGCAGAAAGAAACCTTTTGATCTCACCCTTTTGTAAAGTAAATCTTTGTCAGGTTAAATGCAAAGATCGCTATCAGAAGGCACTTGGCTTTGACAAGCCTGACAGAGCCCTACATACCCTGCAACAGGATAATGGCTGGCACTGAAAAGAAAAGGGCTTGGATAATGAATAAAGAGTATTTTTGTAGCATGACTCATATGTAATACAAAGGCAGCTCTGGCAATGTCTGTACTAATTACAGACTAGTTGCCATGTTGTTACAATTGTGTATATTAAGTGTGTGGGATGCTGAAGTGTGTGGGCATCCTGCTAAGCCTGAGCTCAGCTCCCTGCCACTGAAATCCTCTGTCCCAGCTGGAAAGTGGGCAATGTATATAGGCGCCTGAATACGGGCTGAGGATGACTAAATGTGTCTTTCATCACACTTTTTGTTGTTTATCCCTCTTGGTCACAAACTTTTCGACTTGTCAGAAAGTGTGAAGAATGTCATGTGCTGTGGATTTCAGTGCTGAAGGTGCTGCTGTTGTAGGGTGATGCTCCAGGTCCTTTCTTCCTTGCACAGCAACGCAGACTTTTGTATTTAAGCAGTGCACAGTAAAGAAGGCAGTCCCTGTGCTGGGAAAACCGTGCACAGAAAATACATCCATGGATGTTACCTATCCACAGCTGTTGTTTTAAACTCATCTGAAGCATGGCAGCAAGCTGAGAGCTTGCAATATGCATCAGGTAAGGAGAACACGAGATGCATGTGTGATTTTGAGAAGCAGGAGAGGAAGAGTGGTTTTGTTTTTGGATTAATTTCTCCATTACCAGAGCACTGAGGACAGAAAATTCCTCTTGCACCATGACCACCTTCTCTAATCATGCTAACATGGCTGTAGTGAAAACAACATTTAGCCTGCAATTATTCTCCATGTGATGCTCCCCTCAATTTCCTGCTCTGTTGCTGACATTCAGGTGGATAAACCTGGAGTATTCTGAGTGTACTTACAGCATCACAGAGTGGTTGAGATTGCAGGGGATCTTAGAGATCATTGAGCTCCAATCCCTGCCATGGGCTGAGTGCCCCCCAACAGGTCAGGCTGCCCAGATCCCCATCCGGCCTTGGACACCTCCAGCTGTCAAATGTTACTTAAATAAGGAAAAGCTTTAATCAGGTTCTAATGTTCGAATTCACTTTCCTAGCAACGTTTTAAAGGATGATTAGTGAGAGTCATACCATCCACACCCCAAAGCAGACCCCAATCATTAAATTTTTGCAAATATAATTGCTGTATCGATGCACGGCACGTCAACTTTGTATGTGTTGAATAGCAACTGCCTGTTGTTCTCTGTACTGTGCATGCGTTTGACTTTCAACAAGAGATGAGAACAGACATTACCTTAAATATTCACAAGGAAATGTCAGCACAGATGAGGCAATACAAGGGGAGGGACGGAGGTGGGCTTGGCATAGATCATTTCTGGCCTTGAGGCATGAATAGCTATTCTGGTCACATTATTCTCAGCAATATTAGTCCAATAATGCAATGCAGATCTTGTCTTTAATGGTAAACTGTAAATTAAAGACATGCTTATTGTTAAAAACACATTGGCTCATGAAACTTGGCTGGCAGCATGCAATTTTAAGCACTGTCATGGGACCTGCATTGATTAACCACAAGAGGAGAATTCTCCCCACTGCAAGCCATAGGAAGGTTTGTTTTCAGAGAGTGAGCACCTTCACTGCTGGGGAGAGCGAGAGCCCAGGTGCCTCCCTCTGAGTACTTCGGCATCTCAGTTTCAAAGATCCCCACAGTTTCAAAGATCCCCTCCTGTGCTGCCTCCTGGGGTGCCTACATGGGGCCAGACAGTTTTTGCATCTGAAGACAGCTTAATGTACACAACGTTCTTGCTACTTTGCATTGGATAATGGCAGATACTTGCCTGAACCACTGCCACTTAATGCAGTGTATATTCTTTCTTGTTTTGCCTGCAGGATTTGATATAAAGATTTCTCTTGCCACACACAACGCTTGTTCCACTACCATTTGCTTTTGCCTAACAATGTGCTAACAAGTTTTCATTTCCAGTTTATCTCTCCTTCTATACTTCTGCAAATTCTACACTATACTGATGTACTAGAGGTTCATGTATTCAAGCTTTCTCTATTCTGCTTGGGAAATCACATCTTTGCCTGTTTCTCTGCAAGTGAGCATCAACTTTCCCTGAACATAAGATATACTGTAGTAGTTGTGGTCTGGCCTCTCAAACTGCCCTTCTCCCACCATTTGTAGGAAACTTGTTAATGACTGAGGGATAAAGACATCAAGGCATCTGGTCTTATCTCAGCACACTGAATTAATGGGATAACACCATTCCCTGTCTCCTCTGTGGGAGATCATAACTGGAAAACCAAGAAGGAAACAATACTGTGGCTGTGCTCTGGCGGCTTTGCACCGATCCATCTGCAGCACATCGAAAGGAAACCCTGCTTATGGTGGTTGTGTGCAATGGGTAGCAGAGGGTACCGAAATTATTTGAAAGAAATCAAAGCAGAAAAAGCAAAGGAGATCCATCAGTGTTTTACATACTGTTAAAGGGAGCATATTTGTTTGTGGGATGAAAAATACCAGAACTGGGGCCAGAGAGTCAATCCGGGAGCACAAGTAGGGGAGTAGTTGTTCTCTACTAAGAGATGGAGTTAGAAAAGCCACTTTTGCCTGTGACACTTGCTGACATGGAGAATCATCATAAAGTTCCTATTCCATTTATCGCCAAGAAAAAAATGTCTTGAACAGCCAGGCTTATGTCTCAACTAGTAAGACATCTGAGAAAGGCACATCTCGTTAAGAACAATGCTTTGAATTTTTGTAATACCCGGGATAATTTTATCAGAGAAGGTTTTATGTGGTGATGCATTACATTAGCCCAGCGCTGTGCAAGACATATGGAAATTAGAGATGGATTAGATTTCAGAAAGCTTATGAGGAGTCTTGCAAGACCTTTAACCTTAAAATCGTTCACAGCTGAGCAATCCATTAAAATAAGCATTAAAATAATCCTTGGCTGGTACAGTAGTAAGAAATATGCTGGTGATTAATAGGTTTTGGTTATTTTCTTAACAGTTTAATGCATAGCAGCATGGAAAATAGTCCTGATAATGGCAAACACAAGACATTACTCCATTGGGCAAAAAGCTGGATGTGGAGCTGAGAAACATCCATGTCTTGCGGTGGCAGTGATGGCATTTCACACTCACACATGTCCCGCCTGGGTGAGGGCTCTGTTTTACCCGTGTAGTGGTTTCCTTGGTGTCAGAACAGATTATCCTGCCAACGCACCGATCTGACAGCCATCTCTACACTGTTTTATGGAGCCTGGCTGCCTAATGTCACCCAGCATAATTTTCAGGGCTGGAAATAGGGGCTTAACAGTGGAAGTGCAAATCAGATTTTCCTGTCGGCCACTCGTCCTGCTGGCAGCATGCAGGGCTTGCTGACTCTGCAGGGAACAAGATCACTGTGAAAAGATTCATCACCAGTGATGAGTGCTGGAATATATATGCCTGCATAGAAAACGTTGCCAACTGCCTGCATTTTGGGCTGCTGGTGTGTGGCTTACGGCTGCAAAATAGGAATCTCTCTTCCAAGTAGTTCTTCGTAGCTCCTTTTGCTGTTGCTTTTAATCAGCACTGCTGCATGTGGGCTGGGCAACCAAAGGTTGCTGAGGGTCCTGGTTAGGCAACGTGAGTGTGCCTGGCATCATCACTGCTGCCATCCCACAGAGTAGCTGCCTGCAGGGACTACGGTTATTCAATGGCAAAGGTTTTTCCTCTGCTAGAGGGGTTGTAAGTTGAATTACAAACTCATTCCTCTCCAGTTTTGCTGGTAAAATCCTCTTCCATCATCAAAGCTGTTTTGGTAAGGGTCTTCAATTTGATGTACTTGGAATGACACATGTACACTTGATGCATACTTTCCATTCTTTTTAACATAAATCTCCAACTCATCCAACTCTTCCTGAGGAGCTGAGTTTAACAGGAAAGTGCTGCTAACTCCAGTCGCTGCCTACTCAGCATTACGTATTTCTTGATGGTATTTTCCATCACTAATCACAGAAGCTATTTGTTTTATCATTGCAAGAATTGCATTAGCTCTGCTGACCAAGGAAGGCCATTAACCTTGGCTGCAGCAGCTCCTGAAGTGAACAAGGAGACCTTTGGTATACATCACACAGCAACTCTGGGAGCCTGCATCACCTCCCACCTTTCTCTTCCAGATGTCAGGTGTTAGTGCAATGTGCCAGGGCTTCAGATTAGTAATCACATCAATCTGAGCAGAGAACAAGCTGTCGTAATTGTCTGCACTAATGAAAATTATGATGACAACACAAGAATCCTTGCCAACCTCATCATCTTGCACCACAATGGCATGGAGTTATTTAAAGACTTACTTACGGTTTTAGTCACACATGCACGCCTAAGAACATCTTCTGAGGGTAATTAAACACCACAGCAAAGCTGAATTGCATGGAGAATTTAAGTGTTGTTTGGTGAGCACTGGCATAATTCCTGTTGTATTAGAGCAAACGAACTCAAAGAACATGGCAGAAGGGAAGGCTGGAGAAGTGCCTCAAACTCAGTATGGTTCGCAAGCTGAGGATCTACACAAAGGTAGAAGCAAAGGAATTCAGGAATTCTCCTGACGTTTACATGCAATAAACACATGTATTTACTGCATCATCTTCTGAGGCAAATGCATAGAGGAAAGAATCCACAAAGGTTTATCCAGGGAATAAAGAGCACGAATTCAAATTAGCTTTTGGCAATTGTAAGAACTAGTTTGTGCGATTTGATCTCCTTCAAACTCTGTCCCCAGTGGTGACTCATGAAACAGAATGTCAAACTATAGTGGATTCAAGGAATAGATGCAGCATTAAAAGACTGAAGGAAAGCCAAAACAAATGTGAAAGTGGGCAGTCAAAAGGAGAAAGAACAAACGGGAAGGCTGGTGGGTGGATGGAGGGGGAACAAAGGGAACCTGAGGCAAGGAGGTGAACTGGGAACACAACGAGACATTGGGCTCCACAGAATTCTCCTCATATTTCATTATATATTCTCTATTAGCTTATTTGAAAGTATTGGTTCTCAAAAGAAATTTGAAAAAGTACATTGAAGGAGGAATGGGAGCCTCAGGCAAGCAAAGGGAGAAATGTGTTCAGATCAGTTCCTTCATGGCTTATAGACAAGACCAGGGGAATAAATGCTTGAAAAGTGCTGTATATCACAACTTGCCATTGTCAGTCAGCTAAACATCCAATTTCTGTGTTTCTGTGGTGTGTGGAAATAAAGCATCACACATCAGAGTACAAGGCAGTGGTGGTACCTCTTGCAGGGTAGAGGAGGTCTGCAGCCTTGCAAAGATGCTCTTATAGCATGTACTGCTAGCTCATAGCTAGCAAACAGCCCTGCAAACACCCTGAGCTCTCACAGTTAGCCTGTATGTGCCGGAGAGAATTCTAGGCTGATTTCTGGAGGAAATGAAGTGTTTGCAATCAGCCTAACTTCTTCCCATGCCTGTCCCTGGACATCCTTTAACAAAGTGTAACAGTATGGATTTCCAGCAGCCACATTTCAGCATCCATGGAAATACTTGGCTGTACCCCAAGGAGAACCTGCAAGCCCCAGAGGGACAGCTAAGGCGGTTAAGAGATAATTCTGCAGATATCCCAGCCCTGCAGAGATTTATGCAGATCTCTCTCTCAGAGAGGGTCCAACACTCACTTCCCAGTCACTTAATGTTAATTGTTACCCAGTTCCAGGCAACCTGAGTGCTACCAGCAGCATGAGAGGGAACGTGTGTTACCCAGAGCAATGGGAATGGCTGCTCCTGCTGTTAAGTATGGGACAGGTTCATGCAGAGCTGGCACAGATCTCTCTACTGTGGAGCCTCTGCGATGCTCAGGTCCAAGGTGCTGATGGTGCATCTTCTCAGCATCATTCTCTGTCCAAAATATCTCACCCTGTAGCACAAACACACACAAGAGATAGCTTCAGATCTGTCAGCTATTCACATTTCAAGTGGCTTATGGATAGTGAAGGTTTGGCTGCATGTGTGTTAAGCATCTGATTTTATAAAGCATGAGAGCTCTTTTTATTGCACAACATGCACAGCATTACTAGGACAGGTTAAGAGAGCTGGAGCTCTTCAGCTAGAGAAGAAAAAGCTCTATGGGGGAACTTACAGTGGCCTTCCAGGACCTGAAAAAGGTAAAAAGGACAGGAAAGCTGGGGATGGACTTTCTATAAGGGCGGGTAGTGGCAGGACAAGGGGAAATAGCTTTAAACTGGAAGAAGATAAGTTTAGATTAGATATTAGGAATGAATTCTTTACTGTGAGAGTGGTGAGACATTGGCACAGGTTGCCCAGCAAGGCTGTGGGTGCCCCCTGTATGGCAGCACTGAAGGCCAGGCTGGATGGATGGGGCTGTGAGCAACCTGGGATAGAGGGAGGTGTCCCTGCTATAGCAGAGGATGGAACTACATGATCCTAAAGGTCCCTTCCGACCCAAACTGTTCTGTGATTCTATGAACATATTAAAGCTGTTACCATATATTTCCCTCTATTGATCTAGAATCACTGCATTTCTTTTCTTTGAACGTTAAGCCTTTCTTTCACTCAAAGTAAAAGGAATGTATATTTTTTTTCCTGTGCAAGAAGGCACTGAATTGTCTGTAAAGTTGTTTCACTCACGCTAAAGGCTCCGAGAAATTGCATGGGTGGCTCTGAAGCCAGTGCTCAGAGAGCTGGGAAAGGAGCAGTGGCAGCACAGAGCTGTGCTGCACAACCTGTGGGTGAACAAATTCCATTGAGCTCCATTAGCCATAGGAGAAAACTTACAAGCCTGCATGGAATTTTTTTGAAGAAGCATCAGAGCAGGTTCTGTAAACTCTCTTACGTGCTGGGAATCTTCTTTCCAGGAAAATCCTAGGATTTAACAAAGAAAGGGGAGAAGGAAGTGCTTTGATTTTGAAGAGGACAAGAGGGAAATGCAAATTGGCGACATCTTTCAGAAGAGCATTGTATACATGATGGTACTCTTCAAGCTGTGTCTTGCATCTTAAACAGAGCTTGCAAGGTTAACAAAACCCACAGACAGACACACTGGGAGTGCTGATTCAATACATTTTACACAGTCCTTCGCACTAGGAAGCTGGATGGTTCCCAAGAGCGAGCAATCTGGAAATAAAAATGTGTCTGATCAATAAAACGAAACGACTTGAGGAAATCTGAGTTTAGTGTTCTTTAAGCCTTAATTGGCTTTGCACGTAGCAGAGGTGACCTTGCCCTTTGCAGCTCAGCTGTTAGAGCTGCACGAAGCTTTACTGCAAGATAACAGCACAGGGGAGCTGCTGGTGGCACAGAAGACACAGACCACAGGTGAAAGAAGGGCCTGAAAGAAGGTCAAAATGTCCCCTGGCACATGACGAGCACAGATTTTTGTGCCTGGGTCTTTCAGTGCAACTCTCTCTACGTCAGAAGTTGGCTAACACCTCTCTGCAGCCCCACGTGCTTGCTGGTTCCTTATTTTCAAAGGCATGAGATACAGACATACAAATCGCCAACATGGGTGAGCTAATCAAAAGGCAAGCATAAGTATTCAAACAGCGTGATCTATTTAAATAGGGAAGTTAAACAAAATCCATCCCAACTGGCTTTCAACTCTCAGCCCCATGATCTAAAAATCAATTGATTTTTACTTACAGAATGCTAAATCCTCCTGAGTGGAGGCTTCTCTTTTCTTAGCAGTGGATGTGGGTAGAAGAAACTGCAGAGGTTTTATGGAGGTTAGCCAAAAGAAATGGGCCAGCAGAGCACAGGATCTCCTTCTACAAGTCCCCTCCAGATGCATTCCTGCCTTTGGACAAAATCAGAAGTGAAATTTGCAGTGACATCCAGAGCGAGTCGATTTGAATGGGATTTGCAGCAGTGCCCAGCAGTCCCCAGAAATGCTTTTTCAGTTATTGCAAGGATTGCCTCCCTCAACATGTGCAGCCATGCCAGGCTTCTACTGCATATTTCATCACCTCTATTTTGTAACTTGGCTCTAAAAACTCACTTGGAGCTGAGATGCAACATTACTCCCTTGCAATGTGAAAATCACACCCTGAACTGCTTGGAAATTCTGCTAATACAAAATCAAACTGTGCTCAGCATATTTAAGTGCTTTTAAATAAAACAGTTTGATGTTGGTGAGAAGCAAGCAGCGTTTCTGGAAGGTAATACACAGGAGAAGCTCACACATCCCATCACACATCACGCATTTAGAAGGAAGTTTTTCCACACAGAGGGTGGTGAGGCACTGGAACAGGTTGCCCAAAGAGGTTGTGGAAGCCCCATCCCTGGAGGCATTCAAGGCCAGGCTGGATGTGGCTGTGGGCAGCCTGGACTGCTGGTTGGTGACCCTGCACATATCAGGGGTTGGAATGAGATGGTCATTGTGGTCCTTTGCAACCCAAGCCATTTTATGATTCTATGATATAATCCCATGATGCAGGGAAGGCTCGTGAGATGGCAACCTCTGACCCAACCCAGGGCTGCCCACTGTCCAACCCCATTGACAGGGGGACCCAAATGATTATTTCCCTTCTCATGTGAGCTCTGCATTGGTGGGGATGGGTTGATGGTTGGACTACATGATCTTAGCTGTCTTTTCCAACCTTAATGATTCTATTTGAAGCCTCACAAAAAAATAAAACTAATTAGAACAACAACAAGAACAACCAAGCCAAACAGCCACAAAATGAATCTCTACCTTTTTACAGCCCTGGCAATAAATCCTCCAATGGCAAAAAACGTGGTACCTGCAGCAAACAGTACCAGAGTTGATAGGTATCTGTCTGATCTCCTGATGGCATGGTAAATAACTGGTGTCACTTCCTTGTTGCTTCCACTTGTCCACTTCCACTTATTACTTTATCAGGATAGGCATTAGAGAATACATCACATCTCTTTATGTTTTTCACTTCTGATTAAAATCCTGGCTGCTTCAATGAGCCCTCTGTACACAGCTGGTGATCTGTAACTTTCCGCAGTGCAATGCGACCATTTCTCAAGTCCTGCTCAACTCCAGCTGTAACTTTTCATGGGCAAAGATGGATGCCACAAGCAAAACGCAGGCACGGGCAAAATTTATCTCAATTTATCCTGCACAGAAAAAGTAACAGAGGATACTTTGCTGAAAGCAAAATATACTGCTTGAATGAATTTACAGTATGTAATAAAATACACCAAGGAGAGACCATTTATGTTAGGGGAAGAAGGTAATATATGATGTCAGTAACTCACTTTACAACGATGCTATTAAGGAAGTATAAAGGTGATAATCGCCTTATTTAGGAGTTGAAGCTATATTTACAAGCCAGTTGATGTGTGACATCTCCCAATATAAAAGAGCCACTTTTAACAACTTTTAATTTCTTCCAGAAGAATCTGTGTGAGTTTTATGCCACTTCTAGGTCTTGGTGCAGCAGCACGTGGCTGAGGCAGGCCCATAGACAAGGTGATGGCAAAGCCTCCTGTCCTCAGGACCAGATTATAATTGCAGAAAAGCAAAGCGTCTTATGCAATCCACAGAGGAGCTGCTGAGGCCAAACCAGGAATTAAATCAGTTCTTCTGGTGTCAGCCTCCAGGCTGACACACAGGTATCCCAGCGTTGCAGAAACCAAAGGAGAAACATCATCAGAAGCATTGTGAGCCAGTGTTGCCCAGTTAGCAGCATCCTGCTACAAAACTAAACTATTTTAGCATACATTTAAAAGGGAACTGCCATGATTTTGCTAAATCTCCATCTAGCAAGTGCCATTCGTGGAGCTGCAGCAGGTGTGGCTTTAGAGGAGTCACACCACTTGCTTTGCCTTCCCAAAACGCTCAGAAGAAAGCCTGAATGTACGCACTCCAGAAGGAAAAAAAAAAGTCTGTTTTACCTTCTAAATCTCGTGCCTTGTAAGTCAATATCATGATTGCAGAGCAGGTTGGACTGGGGAATGAAACCCCTCAAAATGTAGATCAGCTAGAGGCAGCGCTCATGAATATTTTACATTTAAGGAGGGCTGAGCAGCACAGGCAGCAGATCCAGTCTGGCAACATCAGAATCAGCAATGTCACTGAGTCAGGTTGGCTAGGGAAGGGTTTCTTTAGGAGAACCAATGCTCCCCTGAATTCCTTGATGAAACGACCACTGGTTCAATGGTTCTTCATTCCCAGCCTTGTTGAGAAGTGGTTGAGCCATAGCCATGCAGGGCAGAGAGGACCATTACTTTCCAGACAAAGCATTCCTGTCAATCACAGTTTTTGTAGTCCATTATAAATGTTGCTTTACAGCTAAACTCCCCCCATCAAAGCAGAAGCATCTCTATTAGGTTATTTAGAAAAGCCCATAATTATCAGGGTTTAATTCATTGACAAGGTGGGCAATTTAAATACTATCTTTAAGCCTGATGAAATTGTACTGACTCCAGGAAGGAAGAAGAAAACACGAACACCACAGAAACTGTCAGCGACAAAAGTCACAGTGCCAAGTGCCAGAGAACTGGTTTTCCTGCCTGTTGAAAACACCCTGTGCATTCTCCTTCAATACAGAAGCAGACGAAGCATTACTCAGACTGCATGTGATGCTGATGGAGAACAAAGGCACTTGAGAAAGGCAACAGAAGACATGAAGAAAGTCATGGTTTCTGGTGACAGAAATCCTTCTGCCCTTTAGTTTGGGAACAGAAATGCTGCCACAAGATTATTACCAATTCTAGCTAGCAGATTTGTGCAAAGTAGGCTTTATGCTATTAGATCCTCCAACGAGGAGGTCAGCGAACGTTGAGGGGTTTGAGATTTGTACGTTAACTGGAGAGGCACATGTTAGCAGGACATGTGAATTAATGACATTATTTATAACCCAGCTCATTATCACACCCAGCTTGATGCCTCAGACAGCTTCTAATTCTCTTAACCAGTTCCTATGGCAGGAAATAAAACCGCTTTGCTTCATCTGTGATCCGTCAGAAGAACTCTCTTGTTGTTATTGTTTGTTTTTTAATGCAAAAAGCTTCTTTCAAAGAACAGATTTGTGACTGCATGATGCAACTCCCCGCAGCCTGAGTTTCCCATACGAACACGTTCATGTTGAGTCTGAGGAATGAACAATGAACAAATTTCATGCCTGATTCCCCTGCTTCGCCTCACTTTTGATCTCTAATATTAGATTGCTATAATTGCTTTTCAGCTCCTTGTGTGCATATTAGCACTGTGCATGTTGTTATAGAAATATGAAATTCAACACATTGTCCTTTAGATTTTGAAATAAATGCGCCCCTCACTTTGCTTCCATCCCCATTCTTTGACCAGAAGAATAAGAGGACAAAAATTTGAAGATATACTTGACAAATATTTGACAAATATTGAAACCTCAAATACGATTCCTGCACATCCCCAGCACCTTGTCATAGGATCATAGAATGGCCTCAGCTGTAAAGAACCACAATGACCATCCAGTTCCAACCCCCTGCTATGTACAGGGTCACCAACCAGCAGACCAGGCTGCCCAGAGCCCACATCCAGTCTGGCCTTGAATGTCTCCATGGATGGGGCATCCACAGCCTCCTTGGGCAACCTGTTCCATTTCAGTCCTTCAGCTGAAAGAAGAGATTGAAGCCTCACCATTCTTAAATAAAAAATATGTAAAAAGACACCTTTTGTTATCAAACTACATAGCTGAACGTCTATATATATGCATTTACATAGTTTTTTAAGAACTTAGAAACATACAGAAGAGTTACAAGGAAAAGACACCATTTTCCTAAACAGACTTCACAAAAAACCCACACTTTCTGCCTTGTGCTGCCAAGAGAAATCACTACTTGCAAGGTTTGATGCCCAAGGACAAAGGCTCTGACCTGATTTCTGTTCCCTCCTCCCAGATTGGTACACGATAACCTTTCAGGCAAAGAATAACGAGTGTCTGTGCATGCGCTTGGGCTAATTAATGCTCACCTACAAACCAGGGGGGATTTTTGTTCCTGCTAAACGAAACCCATGCAGAGGTGGAAGGCGAGCAAAGCTGATGATTGATAGAGAAAGCTGCTGCCCATCAGTAAGAGATGCTTTCTCTCTGCTCTTGAGAAAATAAACACAGGGAATCAATTAGCTCTGAATATAAGTGAAAGTAATGCAACTTCTCAAGCACCTAAATTGTTTTGGTAATAGGAATAGAAATGAATTCATTATGAGTGACAATAACACTAATCAAGATCCACTTCCAGAGGTTTGGAGGAGTGGGAAGGGCCATAATTGCAGCCATGCTCTTCAGCTTCTGCTTTCCTCCAGGATGAAAGCTGAACTGCTTATTCGCAACGTTAAAACCAGCAGAAATGGGGACAGGGGAGCACAGCCTCTAAGTGCAGCCCACACTTTGGCAGTGCCATGTCAGCAGCGATGGAGTGAGGGCTCTGCTGTGAGTGGAGCTGAGCTCAACCTGAAGCACAGAGCAGCAGAGAGCTCCCAGCTCCTGCCTGGTGGGTGGAGAAGCCTTTTTTGGAAGATGTTTTTTTCGGAAGCCACTTCCCAGCAGCTTCTACACGCAGGTGCTATGCTTAATTATATCCTCCATCAGCTGGCAGATCTGCCTGGCAGCTAGTCCTCCATCTCTGCTGCGGCACTGGGAATCATCTCAGCACAAAGCCCTGCCCTGAAACCAGCACTGCTCACCCACACTGTGGAAACATCATTTCCTCACACACACCTCTGCTGAGTTTACTCGGGGGCTGCTCAGGAATAATTATATAACACTCTGGGAGGAGGTAGGAGTTGACTCCCATCTCTTCTCTTCCCACAAGATTACCAGGAGAGAGCATGGAGGAGGAGGG